TAACCTCTCCATCCGGGACGTCACTGGCAAGCTCAATGTCTCCCATACTACTGTGCAGTGGGCCAAGAATCGAGCCAGGTTGTCGACGTTTAAGAAAGTGAAGGTGGTGAACCGAGATTACAAACAAAACACGTCGGCAAAGCAGCGGTCCCGAAAGCTGTATACGAATCTGCTTACAAAGTTCGACTGTGTCGTCATGGACTACGAAACTTATGTGAAGGCGAACTTCAAACAGCTTCCGGGACAGGAGTTTCATACCGCATCAGGAAAAGGGAAGGTGGCTGAAATTTTCAAAACCATCAAACTATCGAAGTTCCCGAAAAAAATATTTCGTCTGGCAGGCCATATGCACGTGTGGTCTAAAAAGCGGCATTACTACGGGAACCATCAATAAAGAGATCTACGTCCAGGAGTGCCTGTAAAAGCGGCTACTACCATTCCTAAAGCAACATAATAGACCTGTGCTGTTCTGGCCGGACTTGGCGAGCTGCCACTATGGGAAAAAGGCAATCGAGTGGTACGATGCGAACAACGTGGTTGTGGTACCCAACGACCACAACCCTTCCAACAGCCCAGAACTCCGCCCTATCGAACGGTATTGGGCCTTGGTCAAACGGAATCTCAAAAAACTAATAAATCCATGGAAAACGAGCAGCAGTTTAAATCTAACTGGCGTTCGGCGGCGAATAAGGTCGATGAGACCACTGTGCAAAATTGAATGCAAGGTGTTAAGCGGAAGGCACGGCAGTTTGGATTTGGCAAACCAAAAGAATAAACGAACATTTTTTCCTTTAAATATATGAATTGAACTGCAAAAAAAAAAATATAAGAAGATTTTTACTAATCCAAGATATTTCACTTGGTTTGACCAGGAAATTGGAACTCCGTTCATAGTGACTATGTGACTACTACTAGGTTTCAAAAAGGAAGCTCTAGGCTTATGTGGAAATATTTTAAATTGAGTTTTGGAAGCGATGGAAGAAATCTTCCATTTTTGTAAATAAGAAGAGAAAATATCGAAGCTTTTCTGCAGTCTGCTGCAAATAACACGAAGACTTCTTCCTTTAGCAGAAATGCCTGTGTCATCAGCGAACAAAAATTTGTGACAAATCAGGGAGGTCCGAAGTGAAAATGTTATACAATATAAAATGTTATACAATACAAAAGAAAAATAAGAAGATTTTTGTGAAATGAATTTTGACTGAAAGAAACGATTTTTTGTTGATCAATTTTTGCGCGTTCCAGCCTTTAGTGCCATGGCTGGTGCACTTCCCCTATTGCACAAACTGCAGTACAATTCTATTTTTTAAATTAATTTTAATAAGTTAGTTTTCCTTAATCTTCGAGGTAATCGAGCTTAGCTTTATAACACGAGCACTCTCGCACTGTGAAAGCTACAAAATACAAGAGCCCTGATTTTGAAGTTGAAAAGCATATCGAATGGTTACGCAGCCCACGATTTTACTTTCTCCACGAACATTTTTTGGAATGCCATTTGATTGTTATAGCATCTTTAACATTGTCTAGTGGCTTTGGGGCTTTCTCGTTCTCGGAGAAAGTTTCGATAAACAAATCTTCAGCGGAGCATTGTATTTGGAAGACATTCGGTTCTACAAAATCAGAACAAATTCTATTAACCCAAAGTTTATTAAGCTGACATCACACTGTTTGACAAACTGTCAAATATTTGGCAAATTTTGACAAAATTATTTAACCAAATATTGCTATGGCAAATATTTGGCTTGAATTTGTCATTCCATTTATTTGGCAATTCATCAAATAGTGTGATGGCCTCTTTATGTTTCGTCAAACATGTTTGCCGAAAACCAGCCAAATAATTTATTTTATGCCCTTGAAAATCTTGAGTAGCAAACAACATCGAATAATCGACGGTTGCTGTGCTTCACCACTGGAAAAGACGATTTATGTGATGTGACACATCAATTCAAATGCATTTTTGATTGGAAAGCGAACGATGTTCATCGCATATCCTTTGGAACATTTGAACTTATAGACTTTTGACGTAGACATCGTCTAACGAGAAGTTACAAGGGGTAAATATAAAATCTAAAATTGTGACCGTTACGAAAAGGTGTTAGGTTTTGAACGCTTATAACTTTGTCATTTATAGATTAAATTGGAATATAAATACTGTAACAAGTACGCTTTCCATATAGATAGTTATTTATTTAGTTAGTTCAGAATTCATATTTATATAATATACTCATTTAATCAAATTGCACGAAGTTTCGTTTTATCAATTAAATTCATAAATGTGTTCACCGCCAAAGAATATCCACTCATGTTGAGTTACACTTGTCATCCAAATGAGTTCCCTGCGTTCAGATGCAAGCGCAAAAAAAATGTAACTGCCTGTTGAGCGTACCGACGCGACCACCAAATTTCGCGACCAAATTTCCATTTAAAATGCGTTGACCTTTTTTTCCGTTCGGCTTTGCGCCCTCTCCCTGAATTTCGGAGAGAAATTGTCTGGATGCTTGAACAGCTCGTTGGAAAGAGATGCTGCGAAGCCCTAACAATCAGGTGTACAATTGCGAGAATTTTGGCGTTCGTGAAATTGGACTTCGTTCAATTCCACAATTCCGGGGCAAAGTTCTGTACTAGCGGCTAACTGAAGAATGTCCTAGCTTGAATCGTTCAATTCGAATCGACTTGTGGAAGAGGCAAGAGTGGTCATAGTTGAAGATGCTAATTTCAAATAACAGACTGTAGTGGTAATTTTTATACGATAGATGGAGTAGATGAAAGCATAGAGTTGATAGTTCCGTTAGATTACGGCAGTGTGAAGATTTCATATAGATATTAGAATAGCGAGCTAGAACAACTTTTAAGGAAGGTACAAATCGGTTTTTTCATCTCTCTTTACCAAACTCCCCCTTTGGAGAGGGATGGTGAGGGGTGTGCACCAATTGTATATTTGGTGGGCACTCATAGATCTAGTTTTCACTGGAAATCCTATATATGAGTGCTCATTGCAAGACAGCCTATATTACGTGATATAGGCTGTAATGTGAACGGGGTATTAGGTCTTTATGAAACTTATTTCTAAAGGCAGGTATGAATGTGCATTGATTTATCAGCATTAGTAGTAGTATTTGGAGAATTAAACCCAGTCCTTCTGCATGCGAGCCCCAGCACGAATCGCTACGTCATCAGATTCTGAGATATATTAAAGTGAACTGTTGTCCCGCCTACTGTTGGAGTTTTCAGTGCCAGCTGATTGACATGAATACGAAACACAACACATTGATGAATATTAAATTGGTGTTTGCCCGCATGGAATTCCAACACACTTGTGGCGCAGTGATCAGAGTTCGTAGATCGCATGCCAAATACGCGGTTAAAATTCAAGAAATTGCTCTTTAATTTTTTCTATGTTTTAATGGAATATTGTTGCACTGCATAAATAATTATAATATAAGAATTATAATTTATTTGAGCCACTGATAATTTCATATTTACGTATATAATTTTTTGTTCCTTGTGTGGATTGCTTCATGCTAAGAAGCTCCGCAGGGAACTTTTAAGATACTTTGAAGTTGCTAACAAGTTCAGCTGTAGGAACTTTATTTAAACTTTATGGAACTTAAAAGTTCTTCGGAAAAAAACTAAATAAAAAAAATCTATCATGTGTCAGCAATATACTTAAGTCTTTTTTTTTAAACGGGGGTTATGAAGCGGTAAAAAACCATACCAACCTTTTGATTGTCCACATGCTTAAATATGTTTAAGCGTTTAGAGTTTGATACCAGTTCTAATATTAACATGCTTGTGTCCATATAAATATTTTTAAAATTTCTGTATTTACACCAAAAATTGTGATTTGTTTTTTTAAGTAGGGGAAATGGCTCTAATGTTGGCCTATGGATCTAAGATTGGGCCCATCGCTAAAAACCTGCTATTTATCAATTGTATCTAGATGAACGCGTCATTGGGACGGTACTAATAGATATTTTTGGTTGAAAATTTAGTCGATTTTTGGTTGAAAATTTAGTCGATTGCTGAATTTATGTATGGGCCCAAATTAGGGACACTTAGGCTGACATTACATACATTTCCCCTATCTCATTTGATTAGAAATGACTTAAAACGGATGATGTGATTGGAATTAGTTCAATAAGTTTTATCGTTTTCGAGAAATCGTTAAAAACGTACCGTGTGAACTGCGACTGAGCGGCGTAGACGACGTAAAAAACGTGTAAAAAATCATTTGAGTGTACTATTCTCAAGAGAATCCTCTATAATACGGTATCATTTGACCTACTGCCACATTCCTGAACCCTCCTTATCTTGTGTTAATGAAAAGTTTTTTATTTAACTTTTTTTAAAAGGAACATCATACAATTCCAAACTCTCGTGATTTGCATGGAAACTAATTAGGTCTTACCGAATGCATGCCTAGCCAGATTTTAGAGGGAAAGCAAACATAATAAAGCATTTCTCACTGTCAAGTCGTCAAGCGAGCGTGTTGATTACTGAAAATAACAGGTGACGTTAATTGAACTAATCAACGACTATGCAATCATACAAAGTTTGAGCCCTAACCATTCCAATCAGCCGCCGAGATTTCACACAGCATCCAATAGTCAAACTAATCGCCCAATATGACATTGAACGTTTGTACAAAAATCAAAAATAATAACGCAACACCTAATCACAACCCGAACCATGACGAAATCCAGTTTGCCACACGAAGCAAAGGCCAAAGTAAGAGATAAGACCCCACCGTACGAACAGTTATCAGCAAAGTAAACAAACGATGATGATTGAATGAAGGGAAAGAAACGCACACCGTAAACACAGCAAACCGCCCATAATCAGCTGGCCACCGTCGTCGTCGTCGTGGAGATTGCTGTTTCTGTGTTTTGGTGAACTCGCGATTCTCCACAGTACAGTTTCAATCAAGCAGCCGCGTCTGCGCACCCAAGAGCCCCAAGAGTCAGATTTACATACGGTCGTCACCTTTTTGTTGCTGTGGTATTGTGTTTTGTTACTTGTTTTATCGCTTCCCCCTCCAGTGTGGCGGTGTCTCCAATCTCCATCAACCATAATCATCGATTGGTCAGTTCAAGCAGGTCGAAAGAGTTCCTTTAAGAGGCTTTTATCTCGCTGTAACTGTATGTACCACCTCGATCGCACAGACGATCGCTGATCGTCAAACGATCGATCGACCGCGTAATTCAATTATTCACCCATATTCGGTAAACTAATGACCCGCCATCGACGCCAATTTCGACGGATTTGGCTGCTACAGCAAAGTGTCAGCAGGTAGTAGAGGGTGTTGGTGGTGGTGGTGCTGGTGCTGCTGCTGCTGTAACGAGGCGGCGAGTGACTGACGACGTTAGCTGCGCGCTCAAACCACTCACGGGAGTGATCATGGGTGAAGTGATCAAATCTTGCTGCTACTGTTGTTGCACCTGCTATCAGTCTGGCGTTTGCTGTGCTGGGTAAGTACAGTGTCACAATGTGTCCTACCCGTCCCACATGATTAGGAAATCAAGCATGGCAGTTAACCATAGAGGTAACTCTAAGACCAGAAGGTCCCGAAGAAACGAGCTCAACTTTTTAACTCAGCTCTGGTACTATCTTCGGTCCCAAGCTAATCGATTCACCCCTCGAAACGTAGGAAAATCAACTAACCCCTCATTTTATCTGTCAAACTTTCATAGCGAATCAAAACAAACATTGTGTAGTACTAGAATTTTGACTAGAATAGGGTACGTTAATCGTTTGCTTGGGACCAATAGGCTAGTCAAGTAGTGAGCCAATTTAAAATCGTTAGTTTCGTATTGATTGTTGGTTACACTGTGTCAAGGAGATTTAAGATATCCATTAGAATAGATGACATGTCTGCCTTATCCATTTGCTCACTATCAGGATTGTAATAATAGTTACCAGTGAATATTAAGCAACACTTATGCCGCGGATATACTTGTATGACAAACTATGATCCTGAGCCTTATTTTCCTATTCAATAGGCTTCTATAAGAGTCTGAAACAAACCAAATTAAACCGTTTGCACTCAAATCATTTCAACCATCTCCAAGAAAAGTGCGTGAATTTCACTGTTTGTAAAATTTCACCAAATGTCGAATGAAAAATTTCAAAAAATCAAATCTGACCATTGCCTAAGATTACGTTATAAACATACTATATCAAAATATGATGGTCGGTACGATTTCAGAATTTTTTAGCTAACTTTTGATGGAATCCCGCATGACCTCTAAACTTTCTTCAATCTTTACTATTTTTGTACAGACTCATATGTTGGGCTTATAAATCAAACTGGAAGGTGACCTATTAGAAAGCTAACCCTTTTTTCATAATGAAGCACACTATTGCGGCAGATTTTGATTTTAAACTAGCTCCGACCAAATAGAAGTGAATACAAATCAAATTTCTTCGGGACATAAAGTGTGACCCACTTAGAACTCGCAAGCACAGTTTATTTTATAGCAGCACTCATGAACCATGTCCCGGGTGGATCGGAATAAGCGTCATGATGGAACTTACGATCGGCAGCTGCGTTGGAAGGTATTAAAGGCTAAACACGAAACATTCCGGACACGAAAATCTTGTTGGGGTTTAAAAATGCGTTTTATTTTTCATAGTTCAATGTAACAGCTATTCATAAGTAGGTATTATGCTTATTGTAAGACCATTGTTTCAGAATTCTTTCTTACCACAGGCCATTTCTCGAACTTTTCTTCATACACGGCCCTTCATCTTTTGCACGAAATTCCATTTCCGCTTGAAATCCTTCAGGCCAGTTGCAGTTCAACCCATTTTCTTCAATTGACCAGTGTGCCTCAATTGACCTTAGTTCTGGAGTATTGGCCGGATTAATTTACTTGGGAAAAACTGTGTCGCCATTATCACTGTGCCACTGTTTGCTGGAATTTAAGTAGATGCAGCTTGTAGTCAGAATAGTAAATCCACCTCATGCTGATCCTGAAAAGGTAGTAGTCTCTTCCGTAGGCAATCCTCCTGGTAAATTTGCTGGTTTATGGTCCCAGAAGTAAACGAAAGTTTCGTTCTCTTCCGGGCCACTCTTCCGGCCAACCGAGGTATAAAATTCCTGCTCAGGAATTTGATCTAAAACCGCCAAGAGCGGATAGACCGGGATTTTTGTTTGGAGCGTGCAGGATCGAATCGCGACGAGCTTGCTCCGGTGAAACCATGATGTAAACAAATGAACTTGTGACAACCAATGGCTACTGTGATTTTTTACATTCTTAGCTTGATTCATTGCCCTGCCCCAGTGCAGCGTTTTTGATGTGTCCCGATTTTTTCGTGTTAAACCTTTAAGAACAATCAGGGTGAACTCGGAACTCTTAGATAGTGATGTATCCAACATATATAGTGCCAGCCATGCAGGGGGTGAAAACGCCAAAAGTGGCAATCTAAAAGGGCATATTCAGAAAGTTTATTTTTAGTGAATTTCCCACGAAATTCCTTTAATTGACATATGCAAAGGGAGCATAGGACAAAGACGCGTCATTCCACCCCAATTCAGCATCAACAAAATTAATTTTTTTGATAGTTCAATAATCTTTTTAATACTGTGTTTCAACCTTTCCATGGGAGATTACTTAGATAATATTGATTAAAACTCTTAGAGCTGTAGTAGTAGTTTTGAGTATAATTCCAGGGTAGATCTAATTCAGATAGGGGAAATGGATGTAATGTCGGCCCAAATGTTCCTAATTTGGGCCCATACATAAATTCAGCAATCGACTAAATTTTCAATAACGACCAAAAATATCCATCAGTACGTCCCAACGCGTTCATCTAGATAAAATTGATAAATAGAAGATTTTTAGCGATGGGCCCAATCGTAGATCCATAGGCCAACGTTGGATCAATTTCCCCTATAAGGATTATTTTAAAGAGAAAATTGTGAAAAATTCTAACGAAATTTTGAGAAACAATCCTATGGACTTTTAAGGAGAATTCCATGGAAACTCTTAGGATGATTCTGAAGAGCTCTGATTCGAAATCAAATACAAAATCTGAGTATACAGTAATACCAACCGGTGGAAACTTACGATTTTAAATTGACTCGCTTCTTGACTAGCCTATTGGCCCAACGCAAATTGATTAACGTACCCCATTCTAGTCGAAATTCCAGTACTACACTAAGTTTGTATTGATTCGCTATGAAAATTTGACAGATAAAATGAGGGGCTCGTGAATTTTCTTATGTTTTGATTGGTGCATCGATTTGCTTGGAACCGAAGCGAGTACCAGAGCTGAGCCAAAAAGTTGAGGACGTTTCTTCGGGACCTTCTAGTCTTAAAGTTACCTCTATGGTAATACCTCGTCTCTTCCACGCAACAGGCTTCTATTTTGTAATAATTACACATAACCGTAATTCCAAATCTATCTCATTAGCCTTCAAGGCAAAACATCGTAAAACTAGAGTCAAAAGGTACAACACAAACCATGCATCCGTATCCAGTGGTATCATTGTATGGCAGTATCGTCAACGGGGGGCAGAGCACTTTCATTGTAGCAATGGACGCAAAACGTGGTCATCACTCACACACTCATCACGAAATGGCTGCTTTTCAAAGTCGCATCGACCGAAAGAACTGCTGATGACGGACAATGAGGAGGTCCTCCTGGTCGCTACCGACTAAACAGACGATCGCGTGACACACATCCAGAGTGGCCTGCATCTGTCGACAGCCAAGTGAACACTGGATCTTTACTGTTGTATCAAAGGAATTTAGAGAAAATATCGAAGGGAGCACAATAAAAAACTTCTAGAAGCTTAGCTAAGAAAATTTTCAGCAGAAATTATATGAGGCTCAGGGAGGAAATTCAGCGATAAATATTCTGTGAATTTTGGAAGATTTTTTAGGAGCGTATAAGAAAGCTCTACCCAAAATTTGATGGCGATGAAGAAAATCATGGATTTTTTTAAAGGATTTGTATAGGAGTTCTGAGGAACATTTCAAGAGAATTTTAAAGAGAATTAAGTAGAAAAATTCAAGCTAGTATCATCAAGAACGATTAAGTGTTGGGAAAGAGTTGTAGAGAGAATTCCAAGAGATTTCTGCGAGGGATTCCTCAATCATTGAAAAAATTACATAGGAATCATTAAATTATTCTTATAAAATCTTGAAAGCAAGTCTGATAAAGTTGGAGAATGATTCAAAGGGAATTAATAAAGAAAAACCTTTCGAAAGAAACATTTGAAGAGTTCTAGCGAAATTATAAAGATAATTCAAAAGCAGGAAAAAATTCCAAAATGCAGGGTTAATCAATTCTCAAGATTTAGGGGCGTTAATTTGATATCCCGGGCTCAGCTTTGTAAACACGTACTACGGACTTTTAAGGAGAATTCCAATGAAACTCTTAGGATGAACTGAAAAGTTTTGATACGATATCAAATACAATTTAATTACAAACATAATCAGATTACAACTGAACGTACAAAAATGTAATTCAATAGCTGTTAGTAGGAAACGAAACACACCAGACATAACAATCGCTTTAGGAAATCAGCCAGGGATTTGGCCAATACTGGAATATTGTAGCGTAGTTAGGTCACCTTTTGCCCTTCGAAAATTAGGCTGGACAAGATATCCTCTTCCATTATATGAAGCCGGCTGCATGCATATCAGCATCCAAATATTAAAAGAACGCTGAGAATTTGCAATGGGAGGGAACTACGAAATCGAAATATTTTTATTACAAGCCACCATCGTGCAAAGTATGCCAAATTTGGACCTTTGAATCAGATGCTGACAACTTGCAAAAACCATAGAGAAACTATTGATTTAACAATGACAAACGCCAAATTGAAGCAATACTTCAATTCTATTCCTTGATTATGAACACGCAAAAGTAATACAATGTGAACAATATACTGTCTAGTTTAGTCTAGGTTTTTGGAAATACAGTCAACTCCCAATAACTCGATATTGAAGGGACCATCGAGTTATAGAATTTTCGACTTATAAATTTAACTAAATAAATTATTTTGATCGTCTTTAACTTCAGGATTAATACCGAAATACTTCATTAACTAGAATAGCTAGCCCTATTTACTCATATAAATTCGAAAAATGGTTCAAGGATTCTTTTACGGAAGCTCTGGGTAGTAAATTTATAGCTGCCAGCTCTTGAAATTTAATTTGTCTAGTTATCAACGGTTCTGGTAATTTCTGGATGTGCCACTATCACCCTGAAGGTGTCTGCCAGTAGACCGAATGGCCGTTACCCCGCCTTAAATAAATGTTGACGAGGTTCCTTACAGAGTAGTTATTTTTTAAAGATTTTAAACACTTTGATATTTATTCTGACTATTTGGACGCTCCAGAACCTTGGAAAATTGCCCATGTTTAGAATATTTTAAAATAAACTCCTACCTCAGTCTTGAAGATTTTTCTTAATCCAGGATCATACAATTTTCTTGAATTGAATTCTCAAAATTTATGAATATATTAAATATTTCCAAATCCGAAATCTTTACAGAATTTTTTCAGTATTTTCTGATGAATTCGCTTGCAAGTCCATCTTAGACCTCTATCTGGCATTCTTTTATAATTTGCTTCATAATGCTCTTGAAAATCATCTGCAGAACTTAATTTGAATTCAATCTGCATTGCTCTTCAAATGATCAATAATATATGCAGTATTACTTAGAAAATCCCAGGAAATTTCTCCGACAAATTCACTTGGAGTCTTCCTAAACATTCACTTTGTACTATCCAGAAATTCCAATAGAACTTTTATAGTAATTCATTTTAAGTTTTGCTCAGGACTCCCATACATTCTTTGAAATTATCCTCATAATTCCCTCTTCTTTGAATTCACTAAAAAATATCAGCGGAAAATGATTACAATTCCCATGAAATATTCCTTGAAATTTCTTTGAAATCATCCTTGGAATGCAATTCCCTTTGAATTACCTTGAAATTTTTCTCAGTAAAAATCCTTTGGATTTATTTAAAGAATTTTCAGAGAGCCCTTCGAATTTTACTTGTTTCCTTTGAAAGTTTCCGAAGAATTCGATTGAAGTAACAAATTCCATAGGTTTCTCATTGAAAGATATTGGGCATTCAAGTTAGAACTCTCCTGGAATTCTTTTTCGAGTTCCTTTGAAGTTTTCCAGGAATTATTTTCAGATTGAATTGAAATCTTCCTCCTAAAGTATTCCCCGAAAATTCCCTTCAAATTATGCTCAAGATTCTTTTTGTTCCTAAAATTTCTTGAAATTTTCTTCTGAATTGCTGAATAATTCTTCTTTGAATTTACATGGAATCCTCCTCGGAAGTCATAATAATTAACTTCAGAAATTCGTATGAGTTCTCATTAACATTTTTTTCGAATCCTATTCAGAGTTAACTTGTAATTTGACTCAGAACTACCTTGGTATTAGAGCTGGGACTTCAACTATCCGGATACTTCAGTTTATTTTTTAATAGAATTACTTTCCGACAAATAAAATATCGTTTAATTGATATTCAGTTTACAGAACATCATGCTTTCTAGTGCCCAATATTGAAATAAAATTAATTGAGAAAACGTTGAGATGGTTATCATGCGGATAGTAACTATCCGGATATCCAGATAGTGAAATTTCAAATTTATGACTGCCGGCTGCCGGCTTGGACAAGGCGGTATTTGTCAGAAACAAGTCTAGCGTCGATGGGTTGCCCGCCGGTGAGATGAATGTTGGCTCGTCCGAGAACCAAACGGAGTACAGCTAATGCTGCGAATGGTCGAACAGCAGACGACCGTTCTGGTTCTGCTGGTAGTTCCGCCATTCCTCATGGCGAGCATTCAGATCTCCTCCAACAACGAAGCGGGAGTCGGTACGGGTGATGGTGGACAGGTCTTTTTTTGAATTTAGTCGCTAGTCCGCACTGTCGAGGGCAGTAGACGGCGATGAACTGGATGTATCCCGTCTCCGACTCCACCTCCACACCAAGGGCTTCGATGATAGAGGTGCGGATATGGGACAGACTGCGTATTGTATTTTATCCCATTTCTGACGATGATCGCAACACCACCCCCTTTGGAGCTGGTACGATCAAGCCGAATCATGTTGTGGTCCGGCAACCAGCAACTGTCGCTGGTCTTGAGGTGAGTCTCGGTGAGGAGGCCCACGTCGATGGTATGCTTGCGGAGGAAGTCCGCCAGCTCGATGGTTTTTGCTCTTAAGGAGCAAGCATTCCATGTGACTATGCATAGTGACTTATTTTTCTTACGTCCTGGCTAGTTGGTGGTCGATGCATCCTTGCGGATACGCTTGAACTCCTCGCGTTTGGGGCATTGCCTGTCAGAGCCTGATGAGCACCGCCACAGTTGACACACTTGATTACCTCAGGACTGTCATTTGGGCAGTCGGAGGAGGCATGGTTGGGTTGATGTTGCATTTCGGGTGCCGTGCCCGAAGTTGAAGCAACGCTGACACTGCGTTACATCGCGGCGGCACCACGGTAGGACTCTCAATGGATGATGACGTTGAAGAGCGAGCGGATTGCTTGCAACGCATTAAGCGTCACCGTCCCCTTCTTGAAGTGTACCAGGAAAAGACAATCCTGATACTTTCTCTGGTTTTCGTTCCTCATCTTGATCCGAAAGACGGCGATGGGGGCCAGCTGATACCGGTCTTTAATTTCAGTTTCGATCACCTTCGTTTCGAAATTCGGAAGGCCTCGGATGACTACCTTAAATGGCTTGTCGCCTGGGATGTCGGGTGTGAAAAATTCCACTTTGGAATTCTTCAGCGAAGCCAAGGCTTTGTTGTAGTCCGCTTTGGGGTGGAGGATGATTTTCGTGCCAACCCCGCACAGCTTGTACTCGGCAGCGATGCCAAGGGATGCCATCTCTTGAGCCAGCTTGTCGAGTGGTACTGACTTCACCACCAGAGGTGGGAGTTTCACTTTCGGACCGTTCTGGCCGCCCGTGGCCATGTTTTCAACGGACCCACCGAAATTACCGACGTCACTACCGTGGCGTTGGCGTTATCCTGGGGACGACTATTCATTGGGGTATGGACACTTCCACGGTCGGATGTGTCTCTCTTCGCCTTTTTGCCACCTTGGGCAGCGTTAGACTGGGTTGCAGGGTTCGAACCCTGGTTCGAGCTTGTATTCTTCTTCCGCTTCGACTGCTGGTAGTTGAAGAAAGAAAGAACTGTCGATGCACCGAAACGACCGAAAACGTGAACAAACGCGTAGCACTACTAATGTCACTGGCACTGAGCGAGCGAATCAAACAGCCGACTGTACTGCACAACGTTGTGATGCAGAATGTCTTCTAGAGGATGAGCAGAGGCACGACAGCAGCGCTGTTTTATATCTTTTCAGGTTCAAGCAGAACGATGTGCAACCAAGTGGTATTCGTTTATAATGACTGGGTTTGGGGAAAACGTTTGATTCATGACAACAGTAACCATAATTATCATTTGTGCATTTTTCAAAAGTTTTTTGATTAAGAATTGGAAAAAAAAATATTTAATAATTATTGTTAAGTAATATCCTATCGATTGGCGTATTTGGATTTTAATTTCATCTATAAATGACAAAGTTACAAGCGTTCAAAACCTAACACTATTTTACCACATATATTTTTTGATTTGTACCCCAGTATAGTCGACAAAGACGTAGTTCTACGTCAAAAAGGTTCCTTTGATGTAGACATTAACATCACAGAATTCAAATCATCTTTGACAAATTGAGTAATAGAATCAACATAACTCTACATAGATCATCGACCAAAAGAGGCATCGGCTTGGAGATATCGATATTGGAGAACACAATACATGGGAAAATGAAGGGACCACAAAAACCATCGAGGTATAGAAAATATCGAGTTGTGTAGAGTTGACTGTAATATCGTTTATAAAAATGGACATAAAATGTAATTTTAATTGTATATATACGGTATTTTCAAATAAATAAATAAATAAAGCAAAAATTTTGATTTTATCATCATAAAGAACCCATAATAAATTGCCTTACTTTTATTCTAAATAATTTAAACAATTCGGAAAGGAGCACTATTATCATGAATCAAGCCAACAAGCATCCAAACAGCGCACATAATTAGAACCTAGTTGCTAAAACACGCGCTCGGGAGGAGTACAACAAAGATCTGACGAAGGACAAAGAAGACTGGCTTATGGAAGTCAAAATGATGCGAATTTTGTATGAACACTTGTAAGGAAAATTCGTTTTGACCAACAAACCTTATGTGACCCCTGATTTCTTACTTCTGCATTTTAACTGGACCACACTTTAATACAGCCAAGAAATTGATTTCCAAAATACAAACGTCCAATCAACACAACAACCTCTCATAATACGCAGTATTCTTCGCAAACTTCCATCTGAGTTCATGCCCATTTGCAGCAGCCAACGCCTTTCCCATTCCGATCGATGGCGGCGATATTCGATAGTGTCACGTCATTTGCTTACACTTTATTTCAATTCTCTTTCCAGCCTGTGCTGCATCGTACTACCGATAGTCGGCCTACTTTCGATACTGGCCGGCATTGTCGTCGCCATACTGCTCGCCTTCTCGATGATCCATCACGATTCAAGCGAATACACAATCAACCGGCTGGTGACAGTGCTCAGTAATCTGACATATGCTCAGTCGACGAATGGAACCGCGGCTGCCGGTGTCCACGATGATTAGTCACTCCACGCTCGTTGTTACGTTATCTTAAGTTGTTTATGATGTTATTTATTTTATTAGGTGTACTTTTGTAGACTTAAAATATAACTTTGTAAATTCAACCCCATGATGACTTCATCAACCGTTCAACCAAATATCACCGGGTTAATTGCAAATTTGACTTTTTCAGCTCAAGCTAATCCAACCTTGACCTACTCAAAATTCAAACTTGAACAAATTGAAACTGTCCTCGGGCAATTTATATCTGAAGTCTTCATAGCTCCCAGCAAGTACACACATCATCCATGTGCTCCGGCCTGCCGTAGGTTCACGACCGAACATACTTCTCAAGACGGTCTTCAAATTCTCATTTCCGTGAGATTTATCTTCTCGGCACTAAGACCGGTAGCCCCCTCGGGGGCTCATCACTTGTGGATTTAACTACAAATCTTGTTAATCACCATGACAACAACGTGGCGGTAGGTAAGTACCTAAACTCTATACCATAAACCGATGCGCGCGGTCGTTTCACGGGGATCTTCACCATCACGTCGCGTCGTTACTCAATTGACTGTGTTGGTGGATTGCAAACTGTCCCAAAGCGGTATTGTTTGTTTTTAGTTAGTGTGGCTACCCGGGTAGACGAAAACATCCCAGTCATACAAAATTATGATCTTGAAACCAACAGCTAAAATATCAAGAAATAATATCAGAAATATATTCCCGCAATATCGTTCCAATACCAAATGCAGCAAATACGGTGTCAAATGAATAACAAAATACTAAAGTTTAGGTCCTTGTTTGTTATCCAAATATCAGTATTTGTTTTTTTTTAATCGTGTGTCATTTTTTGACATTTTTCCTCTAATCCATATCAACTTTAAATATCAATAGCAAAGTTTCTACCCGGGAGTATTGCGCAGTGGATTCATAGGCGGTACACAGTAGCTCACCGATAGTTCACCTTGACACGTTATACTATACCTTTGCTGGTCCCAGCTACCGAAAACGCTACAACCCATCCGTTTAAATATGCATATGTGTTATTAACACGTCACAAGTCAATTTGGACGACGGATTATCCAACAGTTGATCATCGTGAACAATTAGGATTCGGATATCACAGGGGAGAAGGGCACGGAAAGCTACAGTCCAGTTCACGCGCGAATCGGTCGCTGCTGGCTTGGCATAGGATGCACTTGGCATGTTGGTGCGAATTATGGTAATGAACGAAGCAAAATAACAGTATTTCTCACCTCTGTTCCGGCATTCGGCAGGGAGCGTGTCAGCTGTGGTATAGCGGTTTGTAACATACACACAGTCAGTATTTGCACATAAATCGTGTGGTGACAGTCTCGTGGTTTGTATGCTTGAGAAGATACGATAGATTACAGGTGGGCATGGATTTCTGTAGTTTTCCGCAACCGTAGCAGGTGTAGGTTTGATGTTTTCTTTGGAGACGAGAATGCATCTCTTAACAATACCCGTCTTGCAACGAATACCAAATATTTTTGTTATTCAACTCACTTACTCTTGGATCATTTGTGACTTTGACCGGCATGAGATTTTAACTCGTGAAATCTTAAGACTTTGAAAATTCGATTAATGAACCTAACAGGATACGTATAGTTTAACAATCATGTAGGAATAAGCGTTCAGTCTTGTAGTAAGGCTTGTACTCGAAAGAAATGCACCATTTTTTATCCGTGTGTAACTTTTTTATCCGTGGGTAAAAATTGATGAAAATCTGGGTATAACTAGTTTGGAGTGAATTGTTTACATGTGCAAAATTTCATAACAATCGGTTCAGTGGTTATTGAGATGTCATCGAAACAAGAAGAAAATCACCGGAGAATTTTGCGCGCCGTCATGGAAAATCCGACTGCGACCATGAGATGGATCGGAAGACAACTGGGAATCACCCATACGGGAGCGGCGGGCTGGAAGTGGAAAAAATCGAAGACAGCTGACCCTGTGAAGGCCCGGAAGGTGTTGGATTATTTCAAGCGTAATCCGAACCTTTCGATTCGCGACGCGGCTCTGAAGGCAAAGTGTTCCGCCTGGTTCGTTCAGCAAACCATGAAACGAACTGGGCTTCGTGTATTCAAGGTCCGGAAGGCACCGAACCGGCGTGATCAAGAAAACACGCCGGCCAAATCCCGCGCAAGGAAGCTGTATCGAGAGTGGTTAACGAAACCGATGTGTGTGGTTATGGATGACGAAACCTACATCAAGGCAGATACCGGGGCTGGAGCTCTACGTTGCCAAATCACGGTTTGATGTTCCGGAAGACATAAGGAAGAAGAAAGTGGACAAATTCGCCAAAAATACTTGCTCTGGCAGGCCATATGCCAATGCGGTAACCTGTACATCACAATGGGTACCATCAACAGCGAAATTTATCGCACCGAGTGCCTCCAGAAGCGTCTGTTGCCCTTCCTGCGGTCCCACGGAGTTGAGACATTATTTTGGCCGGACCTGGGATCATGCCATTACGCGCGATCGACGATGGATTGGTACAGAGACAATTACGTTGTTTTTGTACCAAAAACCGCCAACCCCCTCAAATTCACCAGAGATTCGTCCGGTGGAAAGATTTTGGGCCATAATGAAGGCCAAAGTTCGAAAATCGTCCAAGGTGTTTAAGAACGAACTGGAGTTGAAGAAAGAATGGATGAAAGTGACCAAAAAGGTCGGCTCCACCATTGCACAAAATGTAATGAGGGGTCTTAAGGGAAAGGTGCTGGCTTTCAGCGATGGAAAGGAAATTGAATAAAGTAATTATGCCGAAACATAATCCATGTGTATTAGTTCATTCCCTGAAAGTTTCAAGAAAATCCGACTTAAAATAAATTTTGGCAAACACTTTTGTCTGTTGCATTTTTTTCGAGTACAGCTTTAAAATAGAAATGTTTAAAAATTATTTCCTAATTTTACAATCTCGAATATAAATAATCTACAGGGCGGGACCGGCATCCGTGCCACCAGAGAAAACATTGTTTGCATTGGTGCTCGGTAATCAAAGTTACTAAGTATCGGAGAAAAAATATGCAAGCCGAAATCTCAATTTGCAGTGGTGCAAAAGTTCAGTTGGAGATGTTTTTTTTTTTTTTTTTTTTTTCGTTTGCTGAACTGTCAGTAAATTAAGCTGATGTCATCCCAAGCAGCACACCTCCATCAAAATAAGTAGCTGCAACTTGATTGTGACTGGAATGGGTTGCACACAAGCAACCACAATTGTTCAGTGACAAGTGTGCTGCTGGGGATGTTCACTCGGGCTTCCATGGGGACTGGCAACCCCATATCAATCCTATATGTTTGACAGTAGGCAAGATCACGGGCCTTATTTAAATACGGCCTGCCTGACGTATGCATGAAGGAAAGGGATGCAAAATCGTGTTGTAAGCAGAAAGACAAGAGCAGATGAAAGCATCAAAAACATGGCCAACATCCCCAGGGTATTTCCGAGCATAAGAATTATTTTGAGAGTGTACTAGTCTTGTTGAGGGTGAGCGTTGGCCAGATTTGATTTTTCAGATATAATCCTAAATAGGACCTAGATTATTTAATACTCTAGTAACATCAAGTCCGTGCTCTGTCACAATATTGCATTGTGATCAATCAACACTCAAAGGGGTAAAATATAAAATTTGGGGTGAAGCCTGGCCAAGTGAGTGGGGTGAGTGAGTGGGGAAGCCTGGCCAAGTGAGTGGGGTATGGGTTTATTTGATTGAACGTCATTTCCAATTTATAGATTGAATTGGCCTTCTTAAGACGGCCTACCGATAACTACCGATAAAAGTTTTGAGAAGCTACCAATAGTGAAAAAAATAATCTGGCCACCCTGGTTAGGGTCTTATGATTTCTGAATCGACAAATACAGTACAGGTGGACATTTTATTTTATACTCTCTATATTATAATTTTTGAATCAGTTTTAGGGTTTTGGGTTAACAGAGGCGGATCGCGGAGGTTTATAAAGTACTATCAGTTAAACTGTGTTTTTGAGGTTTATCTCTATATATTCTTTGGTGTTTCCTAGCGGATAATCAAGTTGGTGTTCGCTGATTCAAAGAATGGATGAGATAAACATTGAGCTGTCCAAAGTTGGGCGTTGTTGAACTTGTGGTACTTGCACAACATTTTATATGAGTATCCAAGTAACTAAATAGTCACAAAATAGCTTTGAATGTGGGTTCAGAGTGAGAAAATGTCACTGGGTCACTGGGTATTCGGATAAAACTATTACTTATACTTATTAAAAAAATTTAAAAAAATAATCCTGGTTTTATCTCATTTTTGGTGAGCGAACATGATGAAGAAGAAGAAGATGGCTTTATCGCAGAACCCCGTCTAGGAACGAGTGTATTGTTGATGGACCTGGTCTACGAATCAAGATTGGTTTCTGTAATGATAAGTATCACGATCTTCATCGAAATGTAAGTATTGTTGACAATAATCATAGCAATCAACTCGTATATACATTGAAATACAGATATAAAGGGGAAGGGACGGTCCAACAGGTCACCTGATTGAAGCGATTTGGACGGGGAGAGTGGGAATGCCAACTCCCTGTTGATAACATTTCGTGGATAAAGGGCGGGCTCTTTTCCCCACTCATTGTGTCATCTTCCTGTTTGGGGGTTTATCTTTTTGACCAATTGACGGATCAAGTTGCTGGAAGGAGATTCTTTATTGTTCCGTAGATGCGTATAGGCGACTTTGCCTATCGATCTACCCAATCCGTTTTCAGCCCTTCATACAGCGACATGTTGAGGACAATCAGAGGTTATTAAGCTTGATCAAGACAAACAGAGAAGAGAGCCCACTGCTGTCGGACTTAGTTTCCATGCTACAATAGATGGTAAACCACTATCATCATCATCGTACTAGTCTTGTTGAGTTTTTGATTGTTAAAATTTTATTTATACCTCTTGCTCGATCAATTTGCGACATTAAATTTGATTTTTCTTATTTATTCTATTTTTTTAAGTTGATTATTCATCTTTTTATGCAAAAATTAGATGAACACGTATGAACAGAACTCATTTAAAACTTGTTAAAGTATGCTTATGATTTACACCTGTATTGAAATTTTAAGTTCGTCCGATCAATCGTGGACCACAGTGTCCATTCAAT